GCCGAAGATGAAGAAGATGGAACAGAAGGATTCCTAGATGCCCTGGACGATGTCTTTTGGGTATATGATGAACAGAATTTCTCTTGGTTCCAGAGGAGATTCCGAGGAAGAAGAGCCAGAAAAGGCAAAGGAAAAGGAAGAAGAAAAGGAAAAGGAAAAGGAAGATCAGGCCGCAGATTTTTCAGACCTCGAGGAAAAGGAAAAGGAAAGAGACGAGGTAAAGGCCATTATGCTGATGAGCAATCGACAACTTATCCAGAAGAGTATTATGAAGAGAATCCTTATGAGGACACTTGGGAGTCAAATCAAGTAGCATATGATGCTATCATTGCCGAAGTTATGAATGACTATCTTCAAGGAGAACATGAAGATGCCAATGACTTTTGGCAACAACTTGAAGAAGCATGGTTTTCCCACAAAGGAAAGGAAGAAGGCAAGAGAAAAGGCAAGAAAGGAAAAGATAAAGGAGATGGCAAACAAGATGCGAACTATGCAAATCAACAACATCCACATTCTTTACCTGCACCTTCAAGAACTTCACAAGCATCAGGAAGCAACCAAGGTTTCTTTGCACATTGTGTGACAACAGTCGCTGAAGTCCATGACAGTGAGGTGGACTTGCTGTCAGGCATGATGACCTCATGTCAAGATGAAGCTGACTGTAATGTCAACAATGGTGAGACGATCTTCGATGACATGAGTGCCCCTGTGAGGTACTCTTTGTCAAAGGAGATGCTCACAGATGCTCCTGATGGCTTTGCGCTTATGAGCGCTGAGGAAGAAGTGAAAGAGATGCAGGCTATTTCATTTTTGATTGAGAATCGCTTCCCGCCAACTATTGCAATCCTGGATATTGGATGCACTAGAGCTATGGGATCAAGGCGTGCAGTCGGTTATTTTTGTAACTATGTCGACAATCATCCAGATTGTGGACTATGGTACTCTTTTGAGTCTACCAAGAGCAAGTTTTACTTTGCCAATTCTCAGAAGGCTTCTTGCTCTCAGAAACTGGTGATTTACATGTATGATCGTGCATGGACGATCCACCATACAGAGTTTGACATAGTTGAAGAAGGAGAAGTCCCTTTGCTTATGAGCTTGCCACAGATGAGGAACTTAGGCTTTGAACTCAGGCTGACACCTCAACATGCTTACCTGACATCGGTGCCTCTTGGTATCAAATTTTTGGAGTTGAAGGTTGCAGCCAGTACTCATCTTGTTCTGGACTTCCAAGATATAGCATGGTATCTGTCTGACGTGCGTTTGCAGACTCGGCGTGAGAAGAATTTTTACTCTCCCTTCACTCACTATGAATATGGCCATATTTCTGTTGATCACAATAATGATGAAGATGAAGCTGAGCATGCATATCCTGTGGTTGACTACTGGGAAGTAGATGTTCACAAGAGAGAATTGATACGTCACCACAAGGATTACAGGAAGATTCTTTTCCCAGCAACCAAGTCCTGTCCTGCAGACATTGACTTGCTGGAAGACTTGCGACTGACAATCATCAAGAAGAAAGATGGAGGAGAAGAGATCAAGAAGCAAGATGATTGGCGCAAGGCAAAATGGAAGGACCTACAAATTGGCTATGAATGGCGTGGTAGAACAATTTTTAAGTTCAAGCCAGATGCCAAAATTCCAGATCTAAAGATCAGGAAGGCTGGCATTGAGCACCGTGGCATTGGTGATCCCGATGCAGTGGTGCGCTCCTCCTCAGAGAAGGTTCCCATTGCAAAGGACAGGGAACCAGGCTTCTCATCAGAGAAGGAAGGTGCACCATCCAGTGCCGCGGAAAAGCCTGTGCCGCCAAAGTTTCGGTATACATCCAAGGGTTTTGATCCATTTTGGAAAGGACACAAGGCGAAACCATCTGAGCCTCCAATTGATTTAAAGGGTGATGATCCTGAAGGGTATACTCCCTCAGAACCACCTGAGAGGCCAGAAGGTGAACTTGTAGAAATTCCTAAAGCATCAAAAGGACAATCAAGTGATAAACATGAACCACTTGAACCAGGTGATGGCGCTCTTGAGCCTAGGCGGATTTCAATCCCATTACCTGGTAGTGAAGTTGTTGCAATGACACCGGCATATAGGAAGATGTTGCAGAGACTGGAGGACAAGGTAGAGCTTTATAAGCTTCATGTGAAGCACTACCATGTGAGTCCTACTTAGTTTCGTAGGCGTGTTTCTATGTTGAAGCTCCCTGACTCTGTTTTAGAGAAGTATGAATCAGTTGTCAGGAACTGCCGTGTTTGTAACACTTCAGTGGCACCTCCGCCACGAGCCAGAGCCTTCGGTATTAGAGCTTCATGTTTTGGTGATGTTGTTTTTGCTGATCATTGTGAGGTTGAACTTCACAAGAACAAGTATATCATTCTACTTGTTCTTGATGGTGCCACAAATCTTCTCTGGGCTACGGCACAGAAAGACCTCATAGATCAAACAACCATCCAAGCATTGAGACAATGGTCTGATGAGAACAATTGTGTTCCGAAGACCATCGTAGGAGACGAAGCCTTTTTCACAGATGCTTTTGTTGAATACTACAGGTTTCATGGTATACAACAATGTCCTTGTGGGCCAAGAACTCCTTGGCCGAACCGAGCAGAGACAGCTGTACGTTTGTTCAAACGTATGTGGCATGTTATGAAAGTAGATCTGGATGACCCACGTTTTCGTGGTGTTACGGTCAGAGAAGTGGTCAAGAAAGCAGTGTGGGCAAGAAATTGTCAGTTGACTATCAGTGGATATTCACCAATAGAGATAGCAACTGGAAGACGTCCACCAGATCTTTTTGACCTTGAGACCCCAAGCCCTGAGCAATTGTCAGCTGATGCAGCAGCACAAGATCGTACAAATCTGGAACTACAACGTGTAGCCTTGAGAGCTCATCAAGAAGCACGACAAGCTCAGGACCTTCGAGCAGATCTTGCAAGAAGGACTATGCCAAGTGACGGTCCCTATTTCCAAGGAGAGAAGGTTTTTATTTGGACTCAGGATTCATCAAAGTTCAAGGATAAAGGACGTTGGGTTCGTGCCACAGTATTTGGACAAGAAGGAGCTATGGTCCAAGCCAACACTGGTAAGGCAGTAGTACGTGTGAATCAGTCAAAGGTTAGACGTGATCACGATGAGTGGCATGATGTTTCCATACCGGCATTAGACGATGAGAACCCGGAGAACTTACGTGAAGATCACGAACTGTATGTTGATGCCGAATTCGGAGAACAGTCTTTTTTCTTTTGTAATGATGATTATCCTGATGTTGTTGAGTTACTACATGGAAACAGTGGATCATCTTGGTTCCTTTCAAAGAATGGTGTTAGAGTTGCATCTCCTATGGATTTCAAGGCAGGATACAACTTTTCCACTCTGAAGGGTCAAGATGCTATTTGGCAGCAACTTGAGAGATTGCAGCCACACTGTGTAGTGATCAACAACCCTTCTCCCAAACAAAACAGAGCTTCGATTTGGTTGCTATGTTGTAATGTGATTGAGTGGCAACTGAGAAGGAAGAAACATGTGCTTGTGACTGTTCCCAAGGGAAAAAAATTTTGTCTGTTTTTGCAGAAGTTCATTTCTTCTTTGAAGAATCCGGTTTTTCACTTTGATGTGGATATGAATTGTTTTTGTTATTGTCCTAAGGGAATTAGTTACGTGACAGTTTTCCATTCCTATGCATCCTGCCAAGGATGGAAAGGTATTGGTGACTGTTCTTTTCAAGCTAAAAGAGTGCAAGCCACCAGAAGCAACCAGTACTTTAAGGATACTGACTGGAAGAAGTTTCCATTTTCATTTTTGGTTGAGATGAATCGTTTCCTTCCTTATAGTGAGACTTCCGACAAGCGTCAGAGTTTCCTTATTGAAGATCTTCTGGAGAATTTTGACTCTGGAAGTTTGTGTGGAACAGCTCTTTTGTTAGAGAGAGAAGCTCATCAGTCAATTTTGTTGAATTCCGTAAGAACGGAAGAGACGACGGAAATTCCGGTTCCACTTCGACATATACTACCACAAAGGTTCACTACTACTGAACTGATCAGAACCTTGAGGCAGGTAGATGCACTACCTCAGAGATCAGAGTTTGATGTGACAACATCCTCTGATTCTCGAATTGTGTCATTGATTCCAGGCCTGAAGGAGATTAGACGAAGAACCTTACCACAGATGTATTTTGAGAGATGTAAGGTTTTTCGTGGTACTTTTGGCAGATTGCATCCTCTCTTCAATTCTGAAGATGATGTAGTGTTGATTATGTGGAAGCCAGGAAAATACCATCAGGTTTTCTTTATGTTTGTGTCACAACTGTCTCCTCATCATGAACAGTTTTTGGTAGATCATTGGAGTATGATAGTTTTCGAGGCAGAGACGACAGGCGCCGTGAAGCGAGTTGTGACTCCTGATGAAGTAGCTCTAGAGGATCCAAGGGATCAACCTCCAGACTACGGACCACCGATGGATGATGATATGGCTTATGAGCCAAATCCAGTCTCGGGGGAACAGCTGTATTTTGATCCAGATGATGAAGATATGAATCCGCCTGGTGATGGACCGGGTGGCAACCCTGATGATCATCAGGGTGGACAGCCTCCGGGACCACCTCCGACAGGTCCCGTAGTTGTTCCGAATCAGTTCGGAAATCCCGATGTTCCTTTGGAGCAACTCGGATATCCATCGAGCGATCCGGAAGAGGCAATGCAGGAGATTTCGAGTGAATCCCGTCCGCCAGATGATCCGGGTCAACCATCAATAGGATTTCCAATCGATACGG